TGATGGCCACGGTGGCAAAGGAGCTGTCACTGCCATCCCCATCCCTGTGCTGGAGCCAGGGTGGCTCTGTGGGACTGGCACCTGCTGCAGGTGACATTGTGCCAGCTCCTGCCAGCCAGGACATCCCAGTGCTGCTCTCACCGGGGCTCAGCTCCTCCGTGCCACAAGTTCCCAGCAGCTTTGGGGGTTCTCAGCAGCTTTACAGGGCTCCCAGCAGCTTTACAGGGTTCCCAGTAGCTCTGGGGGGTTCTGAGGAGCTTTGGGGTTTCTCAGCAGCTTTGGGGGCTCCCAGCAGCTTTGGGGGTTCTGAGCAGCTTTACAGGGTTCCCAGCAGCTTTGGGGTTTCTCAGCAGCTTTGGGGTTTCTCATTAGCTTTACAGGGTTCCCAGCAGCTTTACAGGGCTCCCAGCAGCTTTACAGGGTTCCCAGTAGCTCTGGGGGGTTCTGAGGAGCTTTGGGGTTTCTCAGCAGCTTTGGGGGTTCCCAGCAGCTTTGGGGCCAGCAGCACACCCCACAGCCAGCGGGATGTGCCCAGCACGGTGACCCCAAGCCCCGTGGCTCCGGGACAAGGCTCAGATCATGGAGACCCTGTTCTTGATGTAGACGTGGTAGGGGTCACTGCGCTTGTCCACCTTGCGGGAGCGGGTGTAGCCCAGGATGAGGCTGCCCACGGTGACAGCGAACAGCGTCATGACGAACAGGATGTACATGTAGGCGTTGTCATTGCGGCCAGCGCGGTCACCGTGTGTGGCACTGCCCAGCCGCGGGTCGGGACAGGCCATCCCCCCGTGCACCGTGTGGTTCAGGGCATTCAGCACCGCCTGTAGGGTCTGCTGCCAGGGACCTGTCCCGTTCTGAACATCCATGGGATCTGTCCCGTTCTGAACATCCATGGGATCTGTCCCGTTCTGAACATCCATGGGATCTGTCCCGTTCTGAACATCCATGGGATCCGTCCCGTTCTGCTCGTCCGTGTGCTCTGCGGGCTGTGGGGAGGGACAGGGGGTCAGAGAGGGACAGGGAGGGCAGGGAGGGACAGAGAGGGCAAGGAGGGGTCAGGGAGGGACAGGGAGGGACAGAGAGGGACAGGAGGGGTCAGAGAGGGCAGGGAGGGACAGGGAGGGACAGAGAGGGACAGAGGGACAGGGAAGGTCAGAGAGGGACAGGGAGGGACAGGAGGGCTCAGAGAGGCTGCAGAGAGGGCAGGGAGGGCAGGGGGGCTCAGAGAGGCTCAGACAGGCTGCAGGGAGGCTCAGGGAGGGACAGGGGGGCTCAGAGAGGGCAGGGAAGGCAGGGAGGGTCAGAAACGCTGCCCTCACAGCAGAGCTGCTCCTGGACCCAAAGTGACCCGAAATCGCTCCTCCAACACCTCCTCTGCCACAAAGCAGGGTGACCAAACCCTTGTCATTCCCAGCAGCCCTCCCCTAATTTCAGTCCTTCCCCAGAGGGGATAAAGCTGCCAGGGCTCCAGAGCACCCGCCTGCCCCTCTCTCCTCCCCAGGGCAGGGGACAGCGTGGGGACACAGGACTGCTGGGGACACAGGATTGTTGGGGACACAGGACTGTTGGGGACACAGGACAGTTGGGGACACAGGACAGTTGGGTTCAAAGTCTGCTTTCCCTCAGGGTGCAGAGCTGGCACAGTCCCCACAAATCCCTGTGAGCCCATCTCGAGGGGTTTCTGCCCTAAACCCACTGGGATTTCCCTTCCCATTGGGTCCCAGAGCCCCTGTGACTGCCGTGTCCCCTCTGGACATGGTGCCCTCCTGCCAGTCCCCCCGGGTCCCCCGTGCCCTCTGTGCCCTGTGCACCTTACAGGGCCTGGAGCAGGCGAGGCCAGGAGGGGACACCAGGACACAGTCCCCACGGGTGCCATCCTCTGTGCCCTGTGCACCTTACAGGGCCCAGAGCAGGTGTGGCAGGAAGGGACACCAGGACACAGTCCCCAGCGGTGCCATCCTTTGTGCCCTGTGCACCTCACGGGGCCCAGAGCAGGCATGGCCAGGAGGGGACACCAGGACACAGTCCCCACGGGTGCCATCCTTTGTGCCCTGTGCACCTTACGGGGCTGGAGCAGGTGTGGCAGGAGGGGACACCAGGACAGTCCCCACGGGTGCCATCCTTTGGGACACGCCGGCCCTACAAAGCACCACGGTGTCCCCGGGTACCCGCCCTGTCCCCCCATCTGCTCCTGAGCACCCCATAACTGCTGCACCAGCACAGGAGCTGATCCCCTCCCAAA